GCTTGGTGCCATCTTCAGTCTGCTGTAAAAGCAGCACTGAAGACTGTAGCTGACTCCAAAATAATGGCTAAAAAGAGCCAGTGGATATCAGCAGCTTCTTCCAAACTAATGGATGCACGTGAATGCATCCCTGCAGGCTCTGAGTACAATGAAGAGCGAGCGCAACTTAAAAGTAGACTGATGAAAAGTCTGCGCAACGATCGTGAACAGTGGTGGGCAGCGAAGGCTAAAGAGATGGAAAAGGCAGCGGCGATCGGTAATAGTAGACAGTTATTTAGACTTATTAAGGAGACTGGGGTAAAGATCAACAACAGTTAGTGAGGCGATATAGCGGAGAAGGACGGATCTGCGATTCACTCGCAGGGAAGGCGACTAGGACGATGGGCAGAACACTTCGAGGAACAGTTTAACTGGCCTCCAACCACCATTGCGTTGCCCGCTATCCAGTCGGACCCTGAATGGGACATTGAGACAGGTTCCCCAACACTAGAAGAAGTTGAGAAAGCGGTAGGTAACCTGAAACGAGGAAGGGCAGCAGAACCAGACGGACTACCTGCTGAGGTATAAAAGGATAGTGGTAGAGTGCTCTTAGTCAGGTTAACGGAAGTGTTAGCCAGTATATGGAAATCAAATACGATCCCCTCCGACTGGTCTAAGTCACTCATCATCCCAGTCTTCAAGAAAGGCGAGAAGTCGTCTTGTGATAACCACAGAGGAATCAGCCTGACAAACATAGTGTCCAATATCCTGTAATTCTTCGACGTTTGAGGAAACCAAGCAGGCTTTAGACCCGACCGCGGGTGTATTGACCAAATATTCACACTGCACCAGGTTCTGGAACATAGACACACTTACTGACACCCGACAATAGCTGTATTTCTCGACCTGAAGGCGGCATTCGACTCCGTTGACCGAGAAGTCTTACGGCAATGTCTCTCACTGAAAGGCATGCCTAGTAAGTACATCACCTTATTGAACGCTCTCTACTCGAACACTTGTGAGCATGTTAGAGCCTATGGCGAGTTGTCCAGGGAGCTATGCTCATCGAGTGGTGTCCGTCAAGGCTGCCCACTGTCTTCACTCTTATTCAATTTTATCATAGATATACTTATGGAGGTTTCTCTCTCGTCACCTAATCACACAAACGTTGACCTAATCACCGGTGAATTTTCGTTGGACCTAGAATATGCAGATGACATAGTCGTGTTAGGTGAAGACGCTGACAAGATGCAGAGACTTCTGGACAATGAGTGTCAATTTGAGAATGTTTGGGATCCGGTTCTCACCACCCAAATGCAAATTGTTGCTCCAGGACTGGTTTTCAGCTGTGCCGCGGCTAACAATAGTGGTTGAGTGTGTCGACCACTTCACTTACCTGGGAAGTAGGATCAGCCGTACCCTAATGGCTCAATGGCCGATGAAATCTCTGCACAAATACAAGAGGCTCGATTAGCCTTTGCCAATTTATGCCACCTATGGCACCGCCGTGATATCCGTTTGTCTATCAACAGTTGCGTATACAAATTCCACAAATTGTTTGGAATAAAGTGAATTATTATTATTATTATTATTATTATTATTATTATTATTATTATACTGCACAGCAGTCCGCTCTGTTCTACTGCATGGCTGTGAAACATGCCCATTGAAGGTGGAAGACACGAGAAGGCTTCACGTGTTTGACCACCACTGCCTTCGTAGTATAGGCCGTATTCCGTGGTGTCACCGCACCACGTGAGTAATGAAGAAGTCAGATATAGAGTTTTAGGTAGTAGAGGTAAATCAGTTGACGAGGCTATGAACCTTCATCGACTGAGATGGTTGGGACACGTATTACGAATGCCCAGTCACCGATTGCCTCGTCACACAATGTTGACCGAAGTAGGTTCAGGCTGGAAAAAGGTCCGAGGCGACCAGATCAAAACATGGCACCAATGCATGAAGTCTCTGACTGTTTGTTTGAGCCATGTGGGGCGATGCAGACTCGGTGGTTGGGGTCCGCCGGACAAGAGAAACCAGTGGTTAGAGACTGTTGGTGATATGGCTCAGGACCGATGTCAGTGGTGCAGATGCATACACACATTATCCTCATCTTAACGACGCTATACCTAATCTCGCCATTTCCTCACCCTTTCTTTCTCTCTTTTCGTAATTGATATTTTTTTTGGCTGAATTTTCTTATCTTCATGTTTCACCTCACTACCTTTCTACTTGATGTACTGATATGAGATGAGGTGTGGCAACTCTGACCGTTACGCAGTAATGCCTAGTCTTGTGTTGATTTGGGTAGACGGGATTGGTTAAACGAAGTTGTTTTTTCTGATGGCTTCGATAGGAACATTAAGTCGACAGGGTAGATATCTGAGTGACTTTGCGGGTCTAAATGCTACTTTAGTCGTAACCTTATTAGAAGTTGTGTGTTGAAGTTCTGAGTGTCTTAGTATCCTTTTTATAAGGGTGAAGTGGTGGAATGTGTCAACCACTTAACTTGGAGGTTTGCGTCAGCCCTAACGGACTGGTTGCTGAGGAAATCTTAGCTCTTATACAGGAGGCCCATTTGGCATTTGCCAACTTGGGTCACCTGTGGCGTAGCGTGGCGAAATATTCGACTGTTTATCAAAAGACGAGTAAACTACTCTGCAATCTGTTCACTCCTGTTTAAGCGAATACAGGGTTTTGATTATAGGTGTTTTCTTAGGATTGCTCTTGTTTGCTGTAATCACCTTGTGATCAATTTTGAAATTAGGCGAAGGGGTACTGGGGAAGACAAGCAAGTCGATTGATGTGGTTTGTAACCTCAGTCAATTGAGAAGGCTTGGACATGTACTGGTAATGCCGGGTCACCGCCTACCTCGACGTGCCATGCTAGGGGATGCTTTAAGAGAGTTAAGAGCGACCAGACCAAGACGAGGCATCAGTCAGTGGATTCTCTTACTGTTAGTCTGAGGCGTGTTGGCAGATGTAGACTGCTTGGTTGTGGTCCCTAAGATGAAAGGAATCAGTGGCTGAGAACTCTTGGTGACATGGCTGAAAATCGGTCCCAGTGGCGCAGATACATTCACTCTCTGACGCTTTCCAAAGCTTGAATATTTGCGCTAACCTCTATCTTCAGATTGTTTATCCTCTCACACTACTTTGTCTACTTTGATATCACTTTTTCTGTCCACCTGTTCTTTGTGTACTACTGTGATGTGTGACAGCTGTAATCGATGGACTTGTGTGCGTGGTTCTACGTTGGTTTTGTCAGTTAGTATCCTTTACCGTGGTTCTAGTGCTAACACATTTTGTGATTGTGTTATTCGTAGTATTTATATATATGAGTTGACCTTAAGCTTCACCCTTGATAGTTGTTCGGTCCCTTGAAAACATAAAAGAAGCAGCAAAAACGATAAAGATTTATTGTCCAGTCGAATGTGTACAGAAATTAACGGTTTATATACACTTCGTTGATGACCTTGGAGATCCTTACACTTTTCTAGTGAGCCCTTTAACCAATCTACTTCTCAAATGTATGATCGTATGGTTTTTTGCGAACGTTCGACATACCATGGTTAGCTGTGAAGGCTTTTCAGGGATTTCTATGCTTTTTTGAGGAGTCTAGAGGATATTGTCGCACACCATGACAGAATATATATATATATATATATATATATATATATATATATATATACTGTACTTATTATTGGAAAATAGAATTCCTGTACCAGTGTGCTATATCTTCACTGATGTTAGCAAGATGTATGTATGAATTCGTGAGACTGCACTATATAATAGAATTAGCTGATAAACAAATTGAATAGATATATTCATTACGTAGTTTTAAAAAAAGCATATCATCTTGCTTTTTGTGTTGAGTAACTTAAGGTCTTAGTTATTCAAATACTTTTTCTCCACTTATTGCTGTTCTACATTAGTTAACACGAAATCTACTAACCAAATTGTAACAATGCGTTTATATGAACGAAATTTTGCCGGATACACAGAAATGTTTGAAAGGGTAATTAAGAGGCACATTGGGATACCGAAAGCACAAGGTGTTGAATATGCTAAATCTTTTTCAAGTTATCGAATAATGTAAGTGAACATGTTGAGGAAGATTGTCCATGTGTTTCGGCATTTCCTAATAAAAGGATCGGGTTGGTTTATTTCTAGACGCGTTCTATACTTTCTTACTATCATTATTATTTATCCCTTGGGTTCCTAGCGGGCTTCAATAGCACGTCTCGATTTTACTCTCTTCCCTCTAGTCTTTTCCACCTGGCTACACGACTGCCCACAAGCTTTCATTTCTTCCTCACATGATCTCCTCCATGTCACCCTCGGCTCAGATGCCCAACTCGTTGTTTTCCTTTTGGATTCCACTCGAGCAACTGGCCTGGCGCATGATGACCCCAAACGGTCTTCTCAGTGCATGCCCAATCCATCTCCACTTTCTTCTGCATATTTGTTGGGTGATAAGTTCTTGGTTGGTTCGTTGCCAGCCAGCCAGAGTTCTTTGTTGGTTATTCTTATTATTAAGGCCATCTTATCGATCTTCAGTGTCAGTATCGAGTGAGCGTAGGCAGCTGTTGATGTATGTCTGCAGTTTGTTGGGAATGCTTTTCGTAACGCTTTTATCGAGGGAGAGAAGACACATCGGCCAATTGGCTTTCACCAACTGGAGTTATTTCGCTTCTCCAATTCCAGCAAGGAATAAGTTTGATTTTATTTTGCATATTTTGTTTGTGCTTTGAAGTTTCTGTAGCGGTTAGATTGGTTTCACTGGGTAGGATCGCTAGTCCTGCGTCCAACCGTCCCTCATTATCCGGGCTTAGGACCGGCTAGTATGTAGTAAAGTGGTTACGTAGGGGAGATTGTGATAATTTCTTAATGGTGATGGCATGCTATTATTATTATTATTATTATTATTATTATTATTATTATTATTATTGTTATGCAGTTTTTCAATTTTCACTTCTTACTAACGTATATATTCTTTAAATTCCTTAACATTGTTATAGATGAAACACAAGCGGGATTTAAAATTGTTACTTCATCCGTACTTTATTATCAATATGCTACTCAGCATTTTATTTTTTACCACCAAAACTATCCCAGTGTTTTGTACGTGGATGTATAGTGATTGTCATATTAATCTTCAAGAGTATGAGCTCTTGATATTTTTGGGAAGTTTTGTTGCTCTGCGCAATAAACGTCAGTTTTCTATTCCTGATTATCTCGCTCATTTCTACATGTTTGCTAAACTTGTTAGTCTACTTATGTTCTGGAAACAGAATGTTGTATATGCTATTCTCTATGGTGTTTTATGGTTGATTCAGGCGTGTTTCCTACAACAACCCGTTTATAATGGACCTGATAGGGTTTTATACTTGCGAGATACCACTTTTGAACAGGAAGTTATTCATGGTAATCCAAAAGTCACATGGCTTATTGCTTTCTATACAGTATGGTCACCTGCATGCATTAAACTGCAGCCTATTTTTGCTGAATTGTCTGAAGAATTCGGCTCAGACCTTATGAAATTCGGTAAAATCGATGTGATAAGATATCCAGATATCGGTGTTAAGTATAATATCGACACATCTGGTTGGTCAAAACAGCTTCCCACTCTTATTTTATTTCGTCAAGGTCATGAACTGACAAGAAGACCAGGCATAATCAATACACCTAAGAAAGCAATCCAAAAATTCACATTTACATGGGATAATATGATCAATGCTTTTTCATTAAATGATTTATACACAAATCAAAAGCAGGTTTTCAATACTGCAAATCAACGTATGACATCTGATTCAACGGATGAAGAAAAAAAAAATTTATGATAGAACTATATGACTTTATAATAATAATATTGTGTTAGGCATTTTATCTAGTCTTTCGGATATCTTATTATTCACCTGTGTTTTCCATCTTATAGAACAACCATCTCGATAGTTAATTCCTTTACATATTCTCTGAATATTTTGTCGCTGTAAGCGTTACCTTTTTATCTAATTAAACTGATTACATATATATATATCAGCCTTGCTGCATAAACATAAACTGTCCTGATTTCTTTATAATATGAATATCAAAATTCTTTTAGATATTGTGTGTTACAACAAAAATTTTAATGTGAATAGTAGTTCGAAAAAATGTTATGAGACAAACTATCCCCATTCTTATTTAATTTTATCATAGATATTCTTATGGAGGTTTCCCTCTCCTCACCTAATTACAGAGACGTTGACCCGATCACAGGTGAATTTTCTTTAGATCTAGAATATGCAGATGACATAGTCGTGTTAGGTGAAGACGCTGACAAGATACAGAATCTTCTGAACACTTTGAGTGTCAATTTGAAAATGTTTGGGATGCGGTTTCCACCACCCAAATGCAAATTTTTGCTCCAGGACTGGTTTTCAGCGGTACCGCGGTTAACAATAGAGAGTGTAGTGGTTGAGTGTGTTTACCACTTCACTTACCTGGGAAGTAGGATCAACCCCAGTGGGTTAGTTGCCGATGAGATTTCTGCACGAATACAAAAGGCTCGATTGGCTTTTGCCAATTTGCGCCACCTATGGCGCCGCCGTGATATTCGTTTGTCTATTAAGGGTCGCGTGTACTGCACAGCAGTCCAGTCTGTTCTACTATACGGCTGTGAAACATGGCCATTGAAAGTGGAGGATACAAAAAGGCTTCAGGTGTTTGACCACCGTTGCCTTCGTAATATAGGACGTATTCCGTGGTGTCACCGCACCACGTGAGTAATGCAGAAGTTAGGTGTAGGGTTTTGGGGAGAAGAGGTAAGTCAGTTGACGAGACTGTGAACCTTCATCGACTGAGATGGTTGGGACACGTACTACGTATGCCTAGTCACCGATTGCCTCGTCACACAATGTTGGCTGAGGTGGGTTTAGGCTGGAAAAAGGCCCGAGGTGGCCAGACTAAAACATGGCACCAATGTATGAAGTCTCTGACTGTTGGTTTAAGCCATGTAGGACGATGCAGACTAGGTGGTTGGGGTCCACGGGACAAGAGAAACCAGTGGTTGGAGATCCTAGATGATATGGCTCAGAACCGAAGTCAGTGGCGCAGATGTATACACACATTATCCTCATCTTAACAACGCTATACCGAATCTCACCATTTTGTCACTCCTCTTTCTTTTCTTTCCTTACTTTATATTTCTTTTGACTGCATTCACTTATCTTCATCCTTCACCTCACTACCTTTTTAGTTGATGTGATGATATGAGGTGTGGCAACTCGAACCGTTACGCAGTAATGCCTGGTCCTATGTTGATAATGATGATGAATGATGATATGAGACAAACACTAAGGTTAGATGAAATATGATTGAATAACCAAGTATATATCTATTTACCTAGGCTACCAGTAATCTTACTGTCCAAATAATCAACATCTGTTGGATAAGGTTCAGAATCTGTAAATGGATGATTGTACTTGTCAGGTTATAATTATGTAGAAAAGTTAAGATTATATTAAAAACCAATTGTATTTTAGGGTAAATAATTATTTGATTGTCTACAGTGTACGTATATTCTGTTTCCTAATTAACAATTTTTATTGTTGTATAGTATGAGAAGCATTGTGTTTCATGCACACTCACCAGTACGTTGAATCCCTTGACCATATAGTCCAACACGTGAAATCTTGTTATTTTTATGCATTAATAACGATTGTTTTCGACATTCTTCATTTCTAAATGTGTTTAACCTTCCAACAGCCTGAAATTGAAATACACAGTAAAATTAATCTGTTATGTCACTATAATTTGCTCATATTTTACTCATATTAATGGGGTGATTGAATTACGTTGATATTCATACAGTTGAAAAATAGGTAAAGTTAGACGGTGTGGATTATAATATCTAGGTAGTTTATGCCATTCACTCATATTGTAGATTCAAGTATTCGATATAACTGGATTGTATCTCAGGTATTTACTACTTTTTAGCGAAATATCTCAGTCATCTGACCAGAATATTTATGATAAGTTTAATTTAGTTTGTAGATAACTTTACACATTTAGAACTACTGATGCCGCCCACACCATATTAGTTATGTCGTAAGGTTTGCTGGAAAGATCACCCGTTGATAAACAGTGCCTTGGGAACGTAATCTGATTGCGGTGTTGGCGTTTTGTAGAAGAAATTTCAACGAAAACTTTCGTATTGTTTGGAATGGATAATGTTAATCGGAATATTTTTGTATAAGCTGGTTTGATTTATTTGAGCTATTAGAGCTAAGATCAGTTATTTGTGTGTGATTATGTTTACGTTACACAAACCTTGGGAAAGTTTATTGAATGATATCCTAAAGAAGTGTTAAGTCAGTTATTAAAGACCTTATCGTTAATGATGTTGTTGCACTCCGTTTTATTTTGAATAACAGACAAGGTCGTCCATGAGTATTGGTATATATTGACTGAACATGATTGTGTTATGATGCAGAGTTATGAGAACGATCGGAAATACTTAACGATTGGTAGTCGAGGGTTGAGACGATGCAATCCGAAATGATTCACAAAGAGAAATCAAAAGACTGGAAACTAGATGAGTTTATAGTATCTCGGACTGAAGCGTGTTTATGATTGAAAACTGAGCCTATTCATACAGTTTACAAATAACCTAGAAAGATAAGGAATCACTAGTACATTTAATGAGGCAGGAGCCAATCAGAACAATAGCGGGGTCATACAAGATATGACTCATACGTGGGAAAAGAACACGAATAAACAGTTCAAATGTATACAAAACTGTAAGTATGGAATATAAGGGATATCGGCATCCCTAACAGAATTTTTACTTTTTCTAGATATTTTTTGTAAGTCTTGTTGGTTTACCTGCTAAGTTGTAATAGATGTAGGGGATTATTGATTACCTTTTTCTAGTGCAGTTTATGTGAAAATTCCTCTAATCTGTTTTACTTAGCATCAGTCTGCGGGTTTAGCGATCCAATATTGGCTACTTTATTCAGTGACCTATCTCCTAAATTTATCCGGTATCACTTATTGATTTTGCTGGGTGTAACCGTAAGTTTGAACTCATCAAAGCAATGATCATATACGTAGTTATTTCTCAACCTCGACTTTGGACCAGATTTTGAGTATTTAGTTATTTCGGAGTACTTTGCATTTGTTATGCCGTGGTGATTGCTAATTGGACATCGTCGAAATCCACCCATCAACTTTGTGCATATTCATTCAGTAGGCAAAAAGTCATACCTGTTGTGTGAGAGCTAGTGATACTATCTGACTGCTGAAACCTTGGTAGATGGAGCAGGGTTCGATCTCGTGACCAAATGGTTGAAAGTCGTCTCCCTCAACCGATGAGCCATAGCTTCATTGGGCATTGTGTTATTGCATAAATGCCATCACTCTTGTCTTGTATATACCGTGAAAGGTCTAATATTTATTCTAACAAAAGTGAGTCACCAATACATACCTTTTGCTCGAATTCCTTCAGTTTCCAAAAGCTTTCTTCCTTGTCTTTTTTCATGCAATTTCTCCTGAGTGTTGCCTCTGTTTCAGCGTAGCGAATATTTCTTGGCATGCTCTGTGTTTGATTTAGATTAGTTGGTGGCAAAATTACCTACCCTGGCTGCACTTCCTCTCGTTTCTCTGTCGGTTGCTTTTCTCATCTGCGTATCTATCCAGTCCTTCTGATATTTGTGTGAGATGATTTCTTCGATAGGTGTAGAAGCTCTTGGTAAGTGTGAAAAGAGAGTCATAGATAGATTATGCCTTCTATTTTATTCACGGGAAATCGGTCTTATAAATGCAATGATGGATATATATATATATATATATATATATATATATATATATATATATATATATATATATATATATAATATCAAGTAAAACTTTTCACAGAAGTAGATTGGTTCAAGTCGCTTCATTTTACAACGACACAGAAAAGGAAAACAGGCAAAAGTCAAATTAAAATAAACGGTCTTGAAATGTGTTACCCTGACGCCACAACAACTAGTTTCAGTTTTCTCAAAATCTCTCTGATACAGCCTGGAACAACACTTCGAAACTTCATGAATTAATCCCACGTCATGATCTGACTACCGTAAACTTCTTTATAATATAATGATTCTTCGGCTAACATTTCCTATTTAAGCAGGTTGTGGCTTACAAAACATGACTAAGTAACCTCATTCTCTGAAGGTTTACAAATCAGTTTACTGGTTTGCTATCCTAACTTGGAACTTCACCCTAATCTCAATATTATCCACTCTGTAATGCACAAATTTGAAGATCTGCAGGCGAAAACTAACAAGTTGACAGAAGAGGCAGGGCAGGGTGGGGCAGCGAAGACGAGACTTCAAGTGAATATAGAGAAGACAGAGGTGATGAAGATACCCAACCAACACCAACACCACAAACAACAACAACAAGCTCCAATCATCATGAACGGGAGAAACTTAAAGGAAGTAGCCTCCTTCACCCACTCTCCTAGGCAGCACTGTTTCAACTACAAGCGATGGCGGCACAGACGAGGACATCAAAGCGGCCAGGATCGGGAAGACAGCAAGAGAGGCGTTCATCTGCCTGAAACCAGTGTGGAGATCTTCTGCACTCCACTCAGCATTAAGTGTGAACAACATGTGGATTTTGAACACCAATTCAGCCAAGTCAGTGCTGTTATATGGCTGAGAGACTTGGCACGTTACGAAAGGCATTTCCAACAAACTATACATATTCATCAACAACTGCCCTCTGCGCTGGCTCGTTACTGAAGATCAGATGGATTGCCAGAATAATGAGAGTAAGCAACAAGTAGCTCTGGGAACGAACCAACGAAGCAAGAAGCTATCGCTGAACAAATATGCAGTGGTAGGAAGTGGAGATAGATTGGGCATACACTGGGAAGGCCGACTGTGTACATCACGCGTCAGGCCAGTCTCTCGAGTGGAATCCAGATCGGAAGCGACTAGTTAGGCGTCGGTGTCGAGGGTGACATGGAAGAGATGGTGCGAGGAGGAAATGAGAGCATCTGGGCTGTCGTGGAACCAGGTTCAAAAGATTTCAGAGAAGAGAGTGGAATGGAGACATGCTACTGAATCCCTATGTTTCATTAGGAACCCAAGGGACAAATAATAATAAATAACAATGTCACTTAATATGTGGATTTTGTGCTTATATATCGTGATATATATGATTCAAAGGTGGCCAGACCAAGAATTCACAACAATCAGTGAAGGTTATGAATTTCGGTATGTACTGTGTAAGGTGATATAGATTGCCTTACTTCAGTTCTCAATATGACAAGAAATGGTGATTAAAGACTCATTGATGTAGTTAAAAAACAATCACAATGGTGCGTTTGCATATATGCCTTGACATGTTTAAAGTTTTGGTCATTTTCATTAATGTCGATGGATTCATTCTCTGTCCTGTCGTGCACTTTTGCCTACTTTAGTTTCCTTCGTCGTCTATCCACCTCTTCTTTGTATGCTGATGTGAAATGTAGCAACTTGATTCAATGCACACTTTTGTGCAAGAGTCTAAATCAATTAAATCACATTTTCTCAATTTTCTGGCCAAATTTCTAGTGTCTGATAGAGATATCGATTATAGAGAATCTTGTTATATTTTGCAAACTAAAAGGCAGTTTGGAGTCGAGTTTGTACTGTTACAGGCATAGATAATTCTAAAATGCATTAGCGAGGAGAGTACCAATCAGTAAGTCTTATTATCTGCTATCTTTTAACCCCCTCAAGCTCTAAAAACTTTTCAGAGAATGAATTTCCTCAGATATACGCCAACAGTCAAACACAGCCATCTCTGAGTACCTGTTTTCTGTTAAGCACATGTAATTCACGGTATAAAGGTCTGGTGTAGAATTTAGCATTCCAATTACTACCAATATAAGTAGATGATTATTTTCGTATAGATCGACCTTAATTGTTTAAGTTGACTTTACGAGTATCATTTTAGTTGATTTTATGAATGTCTTCTGTGAATTACTTCTGTCACAGTCAGTTCTTCCTTATACCCTACAGTCATTGACTGTAACTATGGCACACTAAACCCAATAATTATGAAAGCTCCAAGAAAATTTCTGTATGATGTAATTAATAAATATCAATCCTCTCATGATAATGTAAATCCATATTTACTTATGTGCATTGGATACAAGTTAAGTTTTTGTAGGGGCGGGGGGAGTTCAACCAATCTAAATTACTGTTGACCGTATCGCAAAGTGCTTTAGTAAGGTGAAATGAAGTTCATTTTAAGATTGTGATTTTGAATTTTAAAAAAATCGTGTGTTTTGCTTATCCCCTTAAATATAACAGAAAAAAAAATACTAATTACATTATTTCATTGAAAATTAACAACACAAGGGTTTTTCTAAACAGTATAACATTATCACGGCTTTTGCTTAAATGCATTTTGTTATGATTGGATCAGCACGCAGAGTATTATCTGTTATACAATAGAGTTGTCCCTATAGTATTTGTTGCAGTAACAGTTCAAGTAGGCAGATTATTAGTGTAGAAATTGTCTATAAAATACGTCGTTTCAAGTTGCTACACTTTACAGTACCATGCAAAGGAGAAGAACGAGATGCAACTAGACAAAAGTGTATGAGATGAGGGGATAAATTAATAAAAATAATCAAGACTTTGAAGATGACAAAGTTTGTATATTCATGGCTCTCTGATCGGTTTCAATCCATGTCACCAGTAGTTTCCAACCACTCCATTTTTTTAAGAAAACGCTATGTATTGGAAAAAAAGTACCAGATTTGAGATACTGGAATTCAGTTGTTTTGAATATTCAGTTGAATTTGTATTATTTGTGTCTTTTTCATAATCAATACCTCAGGGGAAGCGTTAATTAGCTTTCAATTCTTTTGCTTATATCGATGATTGAGAACACTGCTAACACAGAATCAATTGACGTGATATAGGCATCTGTACCTCCAGAACTGTTATTTTTCCTGCTTGGTTGAAATTTAGAGGTTAGATAGAATGTTTCATCGATCTTCTATGTATTTGAAAATAACTTTTTTTATAAGGGTAACCTGAATTAGCTGGTCCGTACTATAAAAATATTAGTAATTACAACAATGCGATCAGAGGAAGCGATGGTTATTATCTTCATATGCACTTCTTGATCGAACAGTGAGAAGACTAATTTATCTGAGCCGTATATTTCATTTCCCCAACACATTTCGAACAACGTGGATGCATATGTATTTATAAGAAACGTTATAAAGAGAAAAATTTAAGGATAAAAAGAAGTCAAATAGAAAAGCTCAGTTGAAGGCCAAAATTATGAAGTAATAAATCAAACTTGATTTAGGAGCTAGACTTACCAAGAAAGGTTTAATGGGTTAACAAATTGTTCTTGAACACACAGGTGGCTTAAAATTCCTATCACCTCGACAAATTTAGGGTCTGTCCCAAATGCGTTGAAGTTGTGAAGGCTGTGTCGAACCTGCAATGACGTAAAGTGATAGGACCTAACAGTTTACCACCCGACCTTTTCAAAGATGGAGGTAGCGAATTGCTGATTAGAGTGACGGATGTACTAGGTAGTATATGGGGATCAGCGGTAGTCCCCTCAGACTAGTATACTTCACTGGTCATCTCAGTCTATAAGGAGGGTGAGAAATCTTGCGAAACTATAAAAGAATTACTTTGACTCATATCGTGTGCAAGATCCTAGGGTCTGGACTGGACTGCAGTCTGTTCTGTCTGTTGCACGTTTATGAGGCACGACCGTTAAAAGTGGAAGAGATGAAGAGAGTACAAGATTTTCATCACAGGCATTTCCGCAGTACTGCTTATATTTGGTGGGGTCGCCGTATGAGGGATGCTGATGTAGGGCGAAGGGTACTAGGCAAGAGAAGTAAGTCGGTTGGTGAGTTAGTGAACCTTAGTCGAATAAGAAGGCTTTAACCTGTACTGCGCATGCTGAGTCACCGACTACCTAGGAGAAGTTGGATTAGGTTGGAAGAAGGTTCAGGATGACCAGATCAAGACGTGGCACCAGTCTGTGAAGACTTTTACTGTTAATCTGAATCGTGTGGAGAGATGAAGACTACCTAGCTAGGCCCCTCGAGACGAAAGAAATCAGGGGCTGAGGACTCTTGGTGACATGGTGGGAAATTGGCTATATTAAGACAGATATGTTCACTCCTTGGCATCTAAATCTTGAGTATATGTGGTTTTCTATATGTTCAAGTAGTTTGCTCTCTCACACTACTCTGTCTTCTTTGGTATCACTTGTTCTTTCCGTCTATTTTTTGTATGCTACCGTGAGGTTTGGTTAGTTAAACCGATATACTTGTTTTCAAGGTTTAATGTTGGTTTTGTCTGTCTGTCCAACATGTTATGAATTGGGTTTTAGAATGTAGAAACGTAAGCTTATGACCTGTCTCAACGATATTTTTCGTGGTCAAAGAGCTTAGACATCTGTCATCAACGTTTATAGGTTTAGGTGATTCGATTTGCTTTCGATGCTTATTTAAAATATATGTGATAAGCGCATACATGCGGCTGTATATAGACGACTGTGACACCTGAATACTTTCGAAATTCAAACGGGATCTTTTTCTCGTTGCCGCTGCATGAAGTGTCACCCTTTCATCAGAGGTTTGTATGCATGGCTGATTCCCATTATGCATGCAGCTGATATTATAGCTTCAACAAATTTTTTGATAAGGAAATATTCCTCATTTAAGATATTTTTCACAGTGGGCACTCGCTGACTTGAAATCTTTTTTCATTCATTCCCGATATTTACCCAATGCAGAAAATATTCTCTGACAGGTGCTGAGTTAGTGTTCACAGCAGTTTCTTCGGAGTAATACAACTCAGTAACCAAATGCGTCTTCAGGAGTATATCTACACCCTGTAATTTCAGGTCACAAGGTCGACTTTAATAATTTTGAAAATTTTCAAAAAGGCTTTGTAAGTTGTAGGGAAAGTCTCATAACAGAACCTCTTCAAACAGACTGAAATCAAAATTGGTTAAATAAGAATAAGGGAATTAAACGTAGCTGGACCTGGTTCCAACTGAATTCATACAACAGTGTACCCAGCACATATGCAATAAGAAAAGTATGTACATATGTGCACACAGGCCTCAACGTTTGATTCACATACAACATGGTCGTCATCTTTCTCAGCATCTTGACAACGTAGCATCACCTTTGGAGAAAAGGTCAAATCATTTTATATGATCTTCAATATTGTTAATTCCATTTTACTATGATCTTGATATAGCTACTACTACCAAACACCCAAATTTCATTTCAAACAATCTTGTTTTACATTCATTGGGAAACAAAAATAGGAAACTAAAGCGGATCATCTTAACTTTATTGACTTGAAGTGGACTGTTTTTGTATTACCGAAGATACAAGTAAATAACAATTTAAAATTGTAGAATCACCCTTTATCTATTACGACAGGTGAGCTACTTAGTTCTAGTCATTCTAATAGTCAGATATAGTACATTGAGGTGAAACACTGCTGAAAGATGGTTGATAACGTTAGTGCTTAGGAGGGGAAAAAGTTTCTGGGCTGGAGGAATACAGTTAGATGGGGTCAGTGAAGATTATTTTCAGCTTTATTACATTTCACTTCGCCATAACTTTCATGGTGCACAATTAAAAGTTCTGAAAACAGTTGGAAATAATTTGCGATTATGCGGACCTTATAAAAGAAGGACCTTCCGTAAAGTCGATAAACTTGCCAAAACTAAGAACCATAAATGACGGTTATTTACAGTGGGTGGGCTGTAGGCTGTTTTAGTTGATTAAGTCAAAATCCTCAGGTGGCTACGGAGTGTTTTTGTGGTTCCTAACATGCCCATGGCTACACTATCAGTATTTCAGTTTGTGAAACCATGAAAAGTGGTTTGTTATAACAACGTCTAGGTATCTATCAAACCTGCAAGTGGTTACTACCTGTTGTAAAAATGTGAACTCTAACTTTGAGACGACTACCATTTACAGCTGACAAGTATTTTTTTCTTTTTGGCAGCTAGTAAGGTGGCCAAAAACAAAGATCGTAGCAAATCTTATGTCAACATAAGTAGTAAGAGCTATTTCGATTATTCCAGAGGTGAAGAACTGATATATTCACAAAGGAAATGTGACTTTAAACTTAAGTACAATATGTCAAAAAACTTTAGAAGCTTATTGAGGCTCTCCTTTCTTCACAGTCATCGGAAAGTTAATTCAGCACAAATCATAAGCGATAGGCTATTTCAGAAGGATAAATAGTGAGAAGGTATCCCAGAATCTACTCATATATCTTTACGTATATTCACATAAATGGTGAGGGTAGGTCTGATAGAAAGGAAGAGGCGCATGTACTCTAAATTTTTCCCATAATCACTAACTTAGGAGATTTGGAATGCTTCCTAAGACTTGGAAGATAATTACAAAAGAATGTCTCAAATCCATCTTCCATATCAAACTAACCAAGACTAAAAGAGCTTTTTTTCTTTATGCATCTTTTACTATACACAGTCGATTAAATCTTGGCCTTATTACTGTTTATATATATATATATATATATATATATATATATATATATATATATATGAGGAAAAGCCTGGTTGATGTAGGTTAATACCAGAACGGTGCTATTCTATGTTAAGTTAACCTGGACAGCACCGAAGCTTGGCGCGAGCCAATAGTGAGTAACAGCGTGCTTATAAAATATAGAAAATGTACAAAGCTGGAAGTACGTAAGTGGCCTGACTAACTTATAGTGGGTAGTAATTTATAATCGGTAGATATGTATTGTTAACTGGCTATCATCCTTCCTTCTTAGGGTGTGTCGTTACTGAACTAACTAGTTGAAGACACCAGAATTTACGGGATGGGAACCATGGCATTATTTTTGCGATAGCTTTGTAGAAATAATAGTCTTAAGTGGGTCATTCGAAATCCGGGCAAGTTGATGGTAAAGTCTTCGAATTGATAACAGTAGATTAGTTACATCCTTAGGTAATTCAACACAATATACGGAATTATCTGTGTCTATCGGCAATAATGGTTATTGTTTAAAAATAAGTGTTTTCCAGAACTGACTTGTTCGGGACTCCATGGGTAATTTCCAAGTATGGTTTAGGTGATTCACTTCTGGGTTTGCTTTTTGCCTGCTTCCGCCTTAGTCTATCATGCAGTGCTCTGAAATGTGTCATTTCTCTGCTTGTCGTCACGCCATGCCTTACGCTATCACAATTGAGAGCTATGAAGTCTCGTGTTAAGTACATATGATCTTTGGATTTCCGACGAATGTTTGTGTCATCACTCCAACATAATGCTAAAGAGTAAAATCACCAAACAGTTACCATCTGGAACACCACAGTTCTTAACGTTCTTGATTCCATAAGCAAACGTTGCGGGAGGAGTAATAATGCAGTATGTGTTACTACGACCTAAAATTGACTAAGATTATTATATGACTGAAAACACTACCTACACGTTGATGCAAAACATTTTTGCACATGCTGTTCTTTTTTCACCCAGGAGGTTTGTAGCTGTGTTTTGCCAACCTCGAGAACATTCGAGCTTGCTGGGTGTCATTTTCATAAACGTGTTAAAGTGGTCGTCAAGGCAACTGACATTATATATTGGCTTAAACAACATAAGAGAACTAAGTCGTCCAGTAGGCAACATATTTCTACGAGCTGTTGTAAACCGGATGATCTCTTTGCACTCGCTTCCAGGTATCGTGGAAATGCCATAGGTCTTCGGTGGATTCTGATGCAGTAAGTCAATCCACCCGTCTCTGATTAACCTGACAAGCTGTCCGGTTTTGATGACATTTGTAGGGGCTGTATGATTGTTCCAAGGAGCGTGATGTACAAGGGTTGCTCAAGTGTCATAAAACCAGGCGCTTGTTCGGATTGGTTATATAAAGAAGATAGAAAGGAAGAAACGATATTTGGCGAAATCAAGGGAGAAGAAGCGCTAAGAAAACATGGTGAAAGGAAGCAGAGTGGAAGAAAAGGATAGGCCTTTGTAGGTTCATGGGAGGTGAAAGTGCTAAGAAAGACCTTTATAAATAGGATGAGATCACAGAGTCGGTGTGGAGTTGACTGGGATGGATTATTCGGAATTAGTATTATAGGATTTGTCCTGGTGCGAACTCGACGGACGCAAAGACCAATCACTAATTATTCGAACTTGTTATATACCGACGAATACAAGACCAAGGAAGAACACGATAGCGTAGTCGGATGGAATAGTATACTTGGATGGTTATGCCGAAATACCGATGCGTTCCAACTAACTGGCTAGAGAGTCGAATACGAGCAATGCAACGTAACACGACAGCGTGCCAAATGGCGAGGATGCTTGACCGGGTGCCTTCAGCTTAGCGAGTCCAGTTAAACTATCAAGGTCAGCATCAATGTCGAAAGTCGTCAAACCCTAGGCTATTGATTTTGGGGAAGTGTATGACGCTACAGATCACTCCCCCCCTAGTGGGTTCGTGAGGACCCTAAGACGATACCAGCCGGAAGTAAAAACCCAGTGGTTTCTCCACTGGTAAAACTCTTCCGATGGGCTCACTGCGTGAGGTGGCCCCTGGTTGTCTGAACCTTATTCTAGGGTGTCGTGGCGATTAAATAAATAAAATACAATAAATGGAATTGTACGTCGGTCGCGGTCATCTGTTCCTTTCGACGTTCCGTCCAGTGCTCGTTGCACCTGGAATATAAATAAAAGTCTTTAATACCACGAAAACGTTGCGTAAAAATGGGAATTATTTATATATAAACATATCGAAAAATAAAAATTTACGCTTATCTTCACCGTTTTTTTTTAATTTTCATTACATGGTAATAAAAATTGATATAAAAAGGCAAAGTGTACGAGGGTTTGTATTGATGTATCGGGTAGCAGTCCGGAGTTGTTTTGGCGTTGAGCCTTCGGTAATCACCGGTTGGACGCCAGTCGTTGCTATCCTTTTTGGGAACCATGTGCAATGGCGATGCCCAAGGACTGTTCGACGGTCTGATAATGCCCAGGTCGAGCATGTGGTCGAATTCATTTTTCGCCGTTTGGAGCTTATCGGGGGCTAGACGGCGCGCTTTGGATGCCACAGGTGGACCTGTGGTTGTGACGTGATGCATAACATTGCTGGTTATGCACGGAAGAGTGTGCTTCGGTTGCTGTAACTCTGGATATTTCTCCAGAACTGCCTGGTAGGACGCGTCGTCTGATTGTTTAGTCCTAACGATGGCTAAACTCGGACCTACATAGGTGGTGCCGCCAATAGATAACTTTGTGCTGTTATCTATCAGTCGTCGACGGCGAGCATCTACGAGTAGATCGTAATGGTTTAGCAAATCTATGCCAATGATGGGCATAGAGACGTCTGCCAGGAGGAAAATCCAGTGGATAGGTTTGCGTAAACCTAAGTTGAGGTAGGCATACCGTCTCCCGAATGTCGCGATTGCCTTGCCGTTGGCTGCTTGAAGATTGAAGGATGGGTCAAGATGACGCTCCTTTGTCGTTGCTGGAAGAACGCTAACTTCTGCGCCGGTGTCGACGAGGTAGCGGACTTTCGTTTTAAGTCGGTGACGTAGAGCAAACGGCTTTTTCCGCCGGCTACGGTTGCCGTGAGCACGTGCCGGCGTGACCGTTTCCCGAGTTTGGGTCCTTCTTAAAACGGCATGGTTTACGACATTTTCTGGCTTCATCCCCGTAAGTGTTATGAAACCAGCACCATTCAGGGTTTTCCACCCTGTTGGGTTTCGTTTTAGGGCTACCACGCGACTTGCTGCGATGCGCCAAGGTGCGTTTCTGTGAAGTGCTACGTGATCTAGGACTTCGAGATCGTAGCAACCGTTTCACAGAGTTGCACAACTTGGTCACCTCTGAATCCTGGCGCTCTGTTTTGTCGCAGATAGAATATACGTTGGAGACTGGTCTGCTGGATATCTCCAGTATTTTATCTGCTGAGGCTGCCAGGTCGTCGAGTGGGACTGACTGGAGTGTCACCAACACGGTTTGCACCGGTTGTGGTAGTTTCGAGAGAAATAGTTCTCGGAAGAAACCATCGTCAAATGTTCGTGCACCGATTACTTCTCGCATGCGTGCGAGGACTTCAGTAGCTGAGTGGCTGCCTAGCTCGATGTTACGAAGCAATTCGTCTAGACGTTGGCGATCTGTGAGATCGCTTTTCTTCAAGAGTGCGGCCTTTAGAAGTGCATAAGGGTCACTTACTTCAGGATTAAACATGTTTGCTGTAACATACCTGTTTAATTCTCGCGGTAGTGACCGTATGACAGCAAGAAATCGAGATGAGGATCTGAGACACCCTGTTCTCGAAAATCTGCCTCGGCATACAGAAACCATGTTTCTGCATTGTCTGGCCAATATGGCACGAGTTGGATCGTGTTCGTAGTCGGCTTAATACGAATAAGCTTGGGAGTGTGGTCGGACATGAGAAAGTGTAGTAAATGGATATATAAATGTTATCGAAATGAAAACAATAAACAAATATAAAATGGAACAGGCTCACCAATTCAATACTTGTTATTGGTCGGGATATGTGATCACGTCGGGCTCACCAATTTAGGATTTGTCCTGGTGCGAACTTGACAGACGCAAAGACCAATCACTAATTATTCGAACTTGTTATATACCCACGAATACGAGACCAAGGAAGAACACGATAGCGTAGTCGGATGGAATAGTATATTTGGATGGTTATGCCAAAATACCGATGCGTTCCAACTAACTGGCTAGAGAGTCGAATACGAGCAATGCAACGTAACACGACAGCGTGCCAAATGGCGAGGATGCTTGACCGGGTGCCTTCAGCTTAGCGAGTCCAGTTAAACTATCAAGGTCAGCATCAATGTCGAAAGTCGTCAAACCCTAGGCTATTGATTTGGGAGAATTGTATGACGCTGCGGTATTTTGTACCAACTTAGTCCATATCCTAGCTGGTTGGGCGTAAGCTATGCGTCGCCGCGTGGGTGATGGACCTCCTCTTGAAACAGCTGATATGTGAAGGAGTAGCACTGTCGGCGGGTACTGTATTCCAGTGTCTGCAAAGTTGCTGGCAGAGAACATATGGATACACATCTACTTCTTCTTGGGTTGCCACTGGCCTTTAACCAGGATTCCACTGTTCGGATGACTGATTTATTAGTGCTGTGTAAGTTGTTTTAAAATCACCACGTAACCTACACAGGCTAAGGGAATAAAGCCCTAGGTTTCTCGGTCTGTTTTAATGTGGTTTTCTCGGCTTTTCCACAAGACCCTTCATTACTGGCCCCTGGAATTTCTGTAGGAGATTTGCATTTCTTCTTGGGTGTGGTGATGCTATGACGTTGTGGGCCTTTAAGTGGGGCCGGATGTAAGTGCACTATGGCTTCAGGTGGAGTTGTAGAGTAGGGGCACCCGGTTGTTTGCGTATGAAGTGCGGTACTGCTAAGGCTCCGGAGGCATCTTGCTCATTGGTACAGGTGCCTAGCTTGTTAGAAATTATTGCTCTCAGATATTTCTCTATGACATACGGGAAAACTGCGCACGACCGGGAGAGTGAGATACTCTTTGCTAGCCGGAGATACATAGAAACATAGTTTGGCATATAGTGAAGTCAAATGTTAGCTCTTAGTGCTTCTCCGTCATCTCCCTCCGACAAGGTCATCCATTAGGCTCCCTAAAACTTGACAGCCATGCTAAGAGTCCTATAGATTGATAACATTTTGGGTTCTATCTGTCACCTCCTTTGAAGGTGGGAGAGAGAATGGCGTGCTCCCACACTTGTAGGAGTAGGTGCTTAGCTAAGCAGTGTTGAAACATTACAGAGTGGATGGCGTAGGGTGTCCGTACATTGTTTCAGCATAGCAAGGCAGGAACAGAGATGGAAGTCCCTCCATCTTACCTCTTAAACCCCTCACATCGCCGTAAAGACACCAGAAGTGCTTTTAAGGACGGGGTGGTGGTGGCCAGTTGTAGGGGACAGTGCGTAATAGTGAAAGTTGTTATTGGACGACCACTTCCAGCGGAGCTGACTGTTTCATACTTTATCCCACAGTGGTTTCTAGCGATATTTTGGAGTCAAGTTCGGTATGAACGCCGCTTTGTCTTTTCACAGCGATGATGACCCCAAGGTGAAGAGGGACTGCCATTTTTTCTGCTCGTGGTGTTCTGGGTCTGTTTTCTCAACAGCAAACGATCCGCTGGTGTTGACCCCAGCTGCC